ATAAGGAATAAATTCCTATATTATCGTTACTTTAATTAGGAGCAATAAATCAAAGCATGAAAAATTTATAAGAAAATTTTTTTTCTTCAGTTTCATAAAAAACCTCTCAGATAAAGAGAGATGCTCAAAAGTATTCCATAATAAAAAAAAATTATATAATCTTAAGATCTTCAATTTAAGATATTTTTCTCAGCTTCATCACTAGAAGTGAAAGAAGAATCCTCGGATGCCTGGCTAGGAGTCAGCCCATCAATGGTTGGACACCTCTTTTCTATAAATTTCAATAAAAATAACTTCAATACAATCTTCAATATCGGATAAGGTTGTTTCCCTCTTTGGGAGGCGGTCATGTAATTTCTTATTCTCTTCTTAGCTTAAAGATTTCTTTGTTAGTCTGAAGGATGCTCTTCTCCTTTGCAAGAACTTTCAAAGCTTCCTTCGTATGATTTATGTATGTACGAGTCTTAATCAACTTGTGGCAAAAGATATCATGCTGAAGGAGCTCACTATCCCCTCTCAGATCTTTTTGGAACAATAATTAGCACATCATAGAACTGCTTGTAAACCACCATTAGACTATTAATCCTTCACTTAATTGGCAATATGAGTATTTCATTAGATTATAACAGTCAACATAGTGTCTGATCCCCTCAATTAAGATATCTGCCATCTATCTCCATCAACAAACTATCTCTAACAAAATGAAGCATCTCTTTCATCAAGGAAAGATCGGAGCCCTGAAAGGCTTTTGATATTTGGCACTTTTAGTATGTTGTTAGACTGATACCATTGGCGAACAACATGGCCACCTTCATCAGGATGTTCACTATTCACCTCCTGTCCGCAGGGTTGCCTACTTTCTTCAATAGAATGTAATTCAACCACCTCCATTTTCGGCACTTCGCCTGATGGTCTCTATCAGCCCTTCTCCTCATATCAACCATCATTGGATCCTATCTCGACTACAATTAGAAGCAAAAGTACAGCCTTCAGCTCACCGCCTGACCGTCATTTATAACCGAACTTCCATCCAACTTTCGATCGCCATCAAACTTCCACCTGATCATTGATTGTCACTGGACTTCCACCTGATTACCGATGAACTTCCACCTTAAAATTGAATGATATTAGACTTCTGCCCGATCGTTTATCCCCAGTGAACTTCCACTCAATCGTCGACAGTCACCGGACTTTCATCCAATTGCCATCAAACTTCTGCTCAATCATTATCAAAATTTTACCCATCCATCGATAATCACTAGTTGGCCTCTTGAGTGCGTGCTACTACCGCCATATCTTTTCAAGCCACCTTCTTTTGCAAGAAGAGATTTATCTTCTTTTTTCATAGGAAGTCTATTGAGAGATTAAACTTTCATCGGGAGCCCTTCTATACAAAGAGGGACACTTAAGCTTGATAGGAAATGCCACCTATCCAAGATAGTGGAATGCCTCTAATATGGGAAAGGGGATGGGGGAAAGAAAGTGGAAGATAAAATAATTTTTTTCTACACAAAGAGGGGCACTAAAGCTTAATAGGGGATTTCGCCTATAAAAATAATGGAATGCATCAAATATGAGAAAGTCTAACAAGAAATAAGATGGAAGGATGAAATTTCCTTCTACACATAGAGAGATACTGAAGTTAGATAGTGGATGTCGCCAATCAAAAAATAGTGAATAGTCTTTAATATGAAGAAGTTTAAGGGAGAAGGTTCCTTTTACATAAAGAGGGGCACTAAAACTTGTTAGGGGATGCCACCTATTCAAGATAGTGGAAGGTCATTATTCTAAGAAGGCTGGAAAAGAAAAGGAGAAGGAGAATAAGTGCAACCTTCCCCTACCCCTAGGGGAGCTATTTATAGTTGAATGGAGAAAAGAATAATATTCTAGGAGAATAAAAAAATTTTGAAAGAATAAGAATATTTTGAGAATATTCTTGGAGAATAAGAAATCTTTGGAGGAATATTCTTTAAAAAATTAAATTAAAAATTATTGTTAAATAAGTACAAATTAAAAAGCTGATTATAACTGGCTATAACTAACGACGAGGACGTGCGCCCCTTCATGTGCACTGGAGCGCACAAAAAAGTAAAGTCCGCCTTAGACGGATGGTTTGGATGCCAATGAGCATCTGAGCCTGATGTTTTGGGCCGAACAAATTGATTAAGATATTTATGGTTCCCCATAACTAGGGGTGTCAATTTCGGGTCACGGGTCGGGTTCGGGTTGAACCCGAACTAACCCGGGTGGAAAACGGGTCGACCCTAACCCGACCCGGGTAGAGAAACGGGTCGAAAATCCGAACCCGGACCCGACCCGGCGGGTTGCCGGGTTGACCCGACCCGTTTTGAAATCGGGTCGGGTCCTGGTCTGGTTTTCGTGTCGTGTCAAATATTGACACCCCTACCCATAACCATTTTTCAATGTTCTAAACATAAGTTTGATACTTTTAGAGCTCAACAAAGTTTGTATAACAAATTTCAATCAATTTCAAATATTTTGGAGCATAATTATTCAATAATTTTCATCCCGATCAACAAGCTACCTAAGAATAGTCTAAAATTATAATTAAGGGTCACAATGCCAAGGGGGGGTTCATGTTGACGTATAGTGAGCAATCACGTCTCAAAATTTCCTGGCAATTTTAATTTTGCATTGAAATGATTCAAAGAGTTGTGATACATATTTTTGGATTTTGCTGGCATCAACGTCTGAAAATAGGGAGAAAACTAATATGACATCAAAAAATTATCTTGATCGGGCAAGAATCTCGATGCAAAGATGAATTGGAAACTTCTAGAATTAAATCTTAAATTATTTGAACTCCGATTTTAGTAAACTTATAGTCAAATTGAACATCTCAAAGAGACAAACCCAATGCCATCAAAATCAGTCTAATTTGAATCCAAATGAGTCAAAATTGATGGCCCAAAGCCTATTTGGAAGCTTCAGATCATTAATTGGATTATTAATGATATTTATATGTTACATGCTTATAGTCGAATCGAGCAGATCGACAAGAAAAATTCAATGAGCCTAAGATCAGCAAATTATAATGTCATTAAAACACTCCCATGTTATCAACAAATGGTTCATGGTGAAGGTAGTTGATATCAGCCATCCATTTGAAATACGTCCAACATGCCCTTGATATTCTCCCTATTTACTAATCATGCCACTACAAAAAATATAAATAGTCCCCTTTATTCCTTACAAAAAAGGGAGGAGGATGAGATGACAAATGAAGGATCTCTCTTGCTTTCTCAAGTTTACACCACCCGGTTGTGTACAGCCGTTGGACTTTCTCCTAACCACCGACCACTGCTGAACTTCCTTTCGACCATCATCGCGTGATGACGGTCCTTCCAAAAATTGACGCCCGACTATAGTCCTTCCGACCACCATTGCCCAACTAGGTCCTTCGGACCACCATCAATAACCTACTACAGTCCCTCTAACCACCGTTCCCCGACTATGGTCATTCTAACGACCTTTGCCCGACAACAATCCTTCCGTCCACCATCACTCGAATATGGTCCTCATGACCTATGCTGCCCACCAACTATAGTTTTTTCGACCACTATCGCTTGACTACGATACTCCCGACCTTTGTCACCTACCAACTATGGTCCCTCAGACCATCATCACCTACCGACTATGGTCCTTTCGACCACCGTTGCCTGCCAACTATGGTCCTTCCGACCATCGTCACCCTCCGACTATAGTCCACTTCAACCATTGTTGCTTATTGATTATGGTCTCTATAACCACTTTTACTCGTTGACTACGGTCATTCTGACCACTATCATTCGCTGACTACGGTCCACTTCGACTATAGTTGCCCTCCAACTACAGTCCCTCTAACCAATATCACCTGCTAACTATGATCCCTTGACCACCGTTACCAGATAATAGTTCCTTCGACCCCATAGCCAATCGACTATGGTCCTTTTGACCACCATTTCCTGTCGACTACCGTTCTTCGTACCACTATCACCCGTTGACTATGATCCCTCTAACCATCGTCACTTGCTGACTATGATTCCTCCCAAACAGACATGTCTACACTCTTTTAAGAATAATTATCATATAACGAGCTATATATATACAATATGCATTTGCTACATTAAGCTATCACCCTCCTTCAAAGATGAATATTATTTGTAATCAACCATCAATACTAGTGGATTTATTTCGACTGGAAAAGTCCATGTGGTTTTTCCCCCTTTATGGGTTCACGTAAAAATAGTGATGTCTCATATGAATGTTGCACTCCTCTATTTTTATCTGTTTATGTACTGAATCTTCGTACAAAGCAAGGACGCTAAATTTTATATATCTCTACAACCGCAAATTTTCGAGGATACAACAATCTTAATTTTTTAATATTTTATAATAAATTTTACAACAAAAGCCTTCATTTTTTTATTTAAACATAATAGAAATATCACATATCAAAAATTTAAGCCATTTTTCACTAAACTTTTACCAAGATATTTTGAACCAATTATTTTTTATTAGTTTTGTGCAATATAGTTATTTTAATTTTAAAAGTATTAAAATCTAGATGAGCGAGCTATAAATAAAAAATATAATAATTACCCTATTTTCTATCAAATATCTAGATCTTATTTTCATTCATTAAATTTGCACACAAATAAGAAAACATCAATTTATATTTTTTATTTTGATTAAATTCCTAACAATATAATCCTCACATGCATAAATATAAATTTTTTTTTTTAGGAAAATGTTAATAATTTTAATAGATGTGTGCCTAATTTTTTAAATATCATTTCCTAAAAACTCTTCAACATTATTTATTAAAAAAAAAAAAAGAAAAGAAAATTGCTTTAATCTAATCATTGAAATAATATCAAATCCAAGCTTTCTTCTTTAAAAGAAAAAATAAAATAAAATAAATCCCCCAATTTAGGGTGGCAAGGAATCCTCCACGTAAGAAAAGCAGTGATCGCTCATATCTCTTACTCTCCTCTCATTGGCCTCTCCATACTTGTCTTCTCCACAAGCATAACGAACCACACACACTTCCAATATTCAGTATTCCCCCTCCGCCCTCCCATGTCTTCCGAATTTTGCAATGTATGCGGCGGCCCCGCATGGTGCCGCCGCCACCAAACAGATCTCAACCGTTCGATCCCCATGTTTCTGGAATCCACGCACGACCAGTCTGACCTCCACGAGTTCCAGTTCTTCGGCCACGACGACTCCGTCGCCGCCTGGATGTTCGGTGAGCCCAAGTCCGACGAGCCGAGAGATGGGCAGGCGCTGCCGCTTCCGCCGCCGCCGTTGAATACGTTCAGATACTTAGTTGATGACGACTTACGCGGCGGATCCGGCCTTACTTTTGATGTCTGCCTGAGGGCAGCTGGAGTCGACCACGATCAGCAGCAGCCGCCGCCACCACCGCCTCCCGTCACTTCGTCGGCGGCGGCGGCCGCCTCCATCGTGAGTGGTTCGAATCTCTTATACTTTGTCGATCATGCATGTTTTACTTCCTGATTAATACAGTTTACCTGCACATGTTACAAAGGGGGAATAGTGAAATTAGGCACTTGACTTTTTGTTCTTGATAGTTGTTAGGTTGAGCGCTTTTGGGAAAGTTGTTTGATTAAGCTTTGGCCGAAATCAATAATCCTTTCTCTCCATTTGAAGTAATTTGTCTACATGAGATGAGGAATTTGATGAGAAATTAATTAAAGAAGACATGATTAAGTAATTAATTAGTGCTTGATTAAATCAAGTAATTAGTTTTAATCATCCTCAAAACATACCCTTTTATTAATACTTACACATCCTAATTACTTTTAGTTCTATTGAAAGTACAAAGTAGCTTAAAGTTGTAGCTGTGCATTCATTAAGCTTGATGATTAATTAGATTAATCACCAGATAAGCTTTTATTCTATTAATTTAAGTAAAATATTTGTCTTTAAACAAATTTATGAGAGCATTTCATTGTCATAGGCTCATAGCAGCTTGCTAATTGCTACTGCTAATGAATATCATTATTTTACATATTTTCATGAACAAGTATATAGCCATTTTTTTATCAGGCATTAAATGCAGTTATTATACAGCATTGAATAAGAATTTTGGACCTTGAAGTTTATGAAATAAATAATATATTTTTTTTTTTTTAATTTTAGAAGATAGAATCGCATCTCATATATTATATGTAAAAGGGGCATATGGCCCTTCTACAAAGAGAGAGATGGGAACAAACTTTTTTATGTAAGAGACAAGAACAACAAAAAATAACATCAAGCCTTTAGCCCACCACATGGGGTCGGCTACATAAATCCTTCTTCTCTATTGAATCCTATTAATAGTCAAATTCTTATTTAAGTCTGTAAAAAAGTTCATTTCTAATATTTTCTACCTTTTTTTTAACATAGGTCAAATATAGTAAATCTATCCTCCTAACCAGGTTATCAGAAGGCCGACATTAATGTCCAAACCATCTAACACGACTATCTCTAACCTTTTTCTAATGTAGGAGACAATGAATAATAATTCTTACTTTTTTTAAGAAAATAGTAGCAGAATGGGGTTACGAAATGAACCTATGACCATAAAGATTTGAGTGTAGTATGAACCACTAGGCTAAAGCCTAATTCATTAAATACATCCTAATTTACAAAAGAGAATACAAGTATATTGTTATAATTATAACATAGTACAATTTCATGTGTTTATATACCTTTTTGAGCCTCAATAACTTTTTTTTTTGTCACATTACTTTGTCACAGATGCCATTTTCAAGCAACACGTTCGGCGATGCTTCGTCGAGCAGTAGCATGAAGGATGAGGGTGGTGCCGGCAGTGAGGCCATGACTTTGAGCTCAGCTGACCCAAGTTTAGATAGAGAAGCCAAAGTTCTAAGGTACAAAGAGAAGAGGAAGAAAAGGAGGTATGAGAAGCAAATAAGATATGCTTCTAGAAAAGCTTATGCAGAGATGAGGCCAAGGATTAAGGGAAGGTTTGCGAAAACATCGGAGACAAGCCAGACGCCGCCGACCTCCGCCTCTTCTTATGAACATGAAAGGCTTGATCTTGGCTGGTAACATTGTCAATCGATTAAGAGGCAAGCAATTCACAACTAGCTAGGAATTGAAGAAGGAATAATGAATAATGGAATTCTTAATTGGATTGTGTTATTTGCAGTTCTCGCTAGGAATTTATTGTGCTTAGCTTGTTTATATACTAACCGAACAAAAAATTGCTAATGAGCAAGCTGGAATTTGGAGATTATCTGAATTTTTTAATTTCTGGGCCAAGTTTTATCCATTCAATCAACATTTAAATAATATTTATTTTCTGTCTTAAAAGAAAAATATGATGTTGATGCACCATCATTTCGAATGCATAAAGAAGATGCTATTTGGTGACTAAGAAGCTCCAAGAATCTTAATTAAAAGATCTTTCTAACCAATCACGCAGTTTCATCAGCATTACATAGCACAACATATAATAAAATATATTGGCTTTACGGGACCACGAAGTATTACTCGTTTCAACAAGAAAATATGAAGGGAATGACGCCTAATGAAGCTCTTTGAAGTCAAGAGAGGTCTACAGATACTGATCTAGAGTTTTGCAATATAAGTACTGAAGGATCCATGGCATGTCACAATGGCTAGAAATTGTGATGGGTCTTAGCCAGAGAAGGAAAATAGTTCAAACAGCTCTCGCCTTCTGTAATACTTGGCCTCTGGCCAGTATATGTCAGGCAGTCATAATCACACAACTAGCTATAACTAGTGTTTAACTACCAATTTTAATTGGCTCATATTTGCGGCGGTTATAACCGATGTTAATAGCGTAGTTATAACCGGTTTTAAAAGGTATCTATAGTGGAAGTTGTCGAACTGCCACTGATGTATGCTGTGTAAATGTTTAATTTTTGGTAGTGAGCATTAGCATTCATTTCCATTTATAAATAGGGGTTAAGATCTTGATGCACAGAGAAATTGGGCATAATTTGAATCATGATATTCATCCCTAGCCTCTTCCCTCTCCCATCTCTCTTTATTATTGAATTTATGATCTTTATAGTTGGATTCATTTTGTCATGATTATTCTACAAGTTTTACGTTAGACTATCTAACGCAACATTTATAGACAAATTAATGAAATTAAAAGATATTATGATCCTTAAGAAGATAAATATTCTTTGCATTCAGGAAACTAAATGAGTTGAAGAGAAGGCTAAGGAGATTGATATTTTAGGATATAAACTATGATATTCTGGTAGGAGTCGTGCTATAAATGATGCATGTGTGATTATAGATAAGAGTTTGAAGGATAATGTTATAAAAATTAATATAATTGGAGTTAGAATTATAGCTTTAAAGATTTTTATTCATGCTAAGATTATTAATTTTATAAGCGCTGATGCTCCTCAAGTAGGTTTGAATATGTATTCAAAATTAAAATTTTAGAATGTCAAAGAATAATTAATACAAATGATACATCTTGAAATGATACCTCTTCAAAAAAGAGTTTTTATTGGAGGAGATTTAAATGGACATGTTGATAGAGAGGTACGTAGATGATTTTAAAAGCATTCATGGTGGTTATGGCTTTGGAGCGACTAATGAATGTGGTAAAATTATATTATATTTTTTTATCTTATGATTTTTGTAATTACTAAGAAAAGAGATGAGCATCTCATCACTAAAAAGAACCACTACAGGAAAATCGGTCGTTACCAGCAGATTTTTTGGCGAAAACATGCATTTTTGCAGTGTACATTTAGTTTTCTAGTAGATTTTTAGTAGATTTTTTTTTCTGCAAGTATAAACCACGTAAGAAATGTAATCCTATGGCTTTTTGTCCGTTAAAAATAGTTTTTAGTGGCTTTTTGACATTTTTCAATTTGGTTATGCCACCGGTCGGAACGACGGGTTCCGAAGAATTATCATTGGAGATTTCTGTCAGTGTTACCGGCATTTAGACAGTCAATAATTGCTGTCAATTAACACTACGGGAAAACACGGTATTACCGTAGGAGCGTCCGGCGGATTTATATCTGTCGGTCACTACGACGTTTAAACCGGCGTCCTGCGCAACAGAACTATAACGACGTTTTTTCCGGCGGCCTCTAGCTAGGCGTCGGTAAGTTTCCGACACCCATGACGCCGATCTATACGTCGGAATACATAAGCGTATCATCTATTACGATGTATTTGACGCCGGTAATAACCGGCGTATTTATCTGTGGATTAGACGCCAAACATTTTAAACACAACGAAATGTTTCCGTCGACATAGACGCCGGTAATTATTCCGGCAGTTAATACGCTGGAAAGTCCGCCGACGACAACTCTATTTCCGAACCCGCGCCCGTTCGGCATTTCATTTCATTCCGCGTTTCCTTTTAACTCTCCGCTGTGCTTCGTCGCTCCTTCGTAGATCGCCGCTACTTAGGCTTCCGGATGTCCACGACAGTTCGCCGACGATCACAGACTCCGTCGCCGGCGAAAGGATACAATTTTCGGCAAATCCACCGTGAGTTTCGATTTTTTTCTTTGATTTTTAATGCTGATTTTCTAGTGTGTTTCTTTCTCAAGTGATTGTTCCTAGTGTGAGAATGTCTCTCAGACGAAGGAGAAGAACCAGCGAGAGAGAGAGAGAGAGAGAGAGAGAGAGAGAGAGAGAGAGAGAGAGAGAGATAATCGTTTGTCTCCTCACTGCCCTTTGACTCATACACAGGCTCCTGATCCTTTTTCTTCTGATTTTAAGCTCGATATGATTGTAGCTCAGCCTGAATCTATCTTATATCCTCTATCTCTCTTATTAGAGCAGCAATCCTTGGCTAATGGTTTCTTCAACTCCACTAGCATCATAAAATATTGAGGTAGGTGTACTGCTCTCAATGGCATATCCCTGCAACCCTAAGCCATAAACCCTCCCCTTGTATATGTTCTCAATAGCTTCTGACCACATATGGTATTCAGAGTATTGGGTCCATCCTGAAGATAATCCCTCACCAATAAATGAATGACCCTCCTGAAGTTGTATAAAATCATCATACTAGAATAAACTCATTAAAAAAATTATTTATTTTTAATTATTATTCAAAAAATTATACTCATATGAGTTTTTCTCTTCTTCTCATCAACCCACTAATGATCAACTTGATGTTGGTGAGTTCTTGCATGCAGCTCCAATGGTGTTGACTCTCGACTAATATATTCTTTTTATAAATAGAGAGCATAGTTAAAATAATGTACATACATTTATGAAACTAATTGAAATAATCTTTTACAAGTCGTCGTCTATGCTTAGTATAAGACACTGACCCACCCGCCCGTATGAAGAGAGCTTCTTAAACCCCCACAATTAAATGCTCTATTTTGCTGATTCTGCTCTCTCAATTTTGTGAACTCAGGGCTCGCCTAAACTCTGGTCAAACTAGCCCACACTCCCTTGCCAATCCATAATGGAGGTTGCCCAGACTTTATAATGTTTGTGAACATATCCCTAAGATGAGTTGAGCCTCTTTTCTCAAAATTGGTTCTCATCCTCGAACCATGCTCATGCAACTATCTAAAATCTTTCTATAAAATATAGGCATAATAAATAATATTAATATAAATATAATCAGAAATGGTAAGTAATATCAAATAAATATACATGAAATTCTTTGAACTATATATCCCTAACTTTCTTTGGGATTTTCTTCCACGTAAGTAAAGAGCATCATATTTTCTTCGTATTATGTCACAAATCTTATGGGTAATCTGCCTTACGGGATTAAAACTACGAGTAAATTTTTTTCTCGATTACATAACATGGGGCTCGAAGTAATAGTAGCATAAGGGGTGGTTTCTTGAGCCAAATATACTTTACATATAGATTATTCTTGAAGTGCTTTATTCTTAACATATATATTTTAAATATATGTTAGACGATTAAATTTGTTAGTTAGGATTGAAAATATTAAATATAACATATTAAATATATTTTTTACCTCTCAAAAGAGTATATCCAATGATATTACATAAGTCATACTCTAGCCTTATTAGGTAGATGGACTAGATCAAAGATGTTTCATAGAATAAAAAAATCTATGGGGAGTTTTTTTTTTCTGGCTTGCATAGGATGATTGTCATGTTTTTCTTGCTCCTCCGTAAAACTTATTTGCTTAGTTTAGATGAACATAGGTATTTGAAGAAAAGGATAAGCACTCACAATGGATTTGATATATAATATGGTAACATATATAATATAATTAGAAGGAGTATCTCCATAAATATGTGACAATTATGTCATTTTAGTTCAATTAATCTCATAGATTTAAGGTCTACGCATCAAATCAAGTTTGATCCATAATCATCAGATATTTTTAAATATTGAAATCACTGACATATTGATCTTTTTATTATAATGTGAATGAGAAATGTGCTTTAGGCTTCATTATTCTGCCATCGTTGTTTATTACTAGCTTTAGATTTCTTCGCTTGCAGTACTCTTTAATGTCCATTCTAGCTTTTACATTATCCTTACTCTTGCTTTTAACATCCATAATTGTATTAAATATTTTGTCGAGATAGTACTTCTCAATGTGCATTATATCCATATTATACCTTATCAAATTTGTACTCCAATATGGTAATATTAAGAAAATACTTTTTTAATCCAATTATGTTGAATGTCATATCCAAAAAATTTACAATATGATAATATTCAAAAATTCATAATTGATGAAATGCTAAAAAATCTCTATAGTATATCTTAATCACTTAATCTAGGTGGAGGAGGTGATCTCTCAACTATGTTTTTAATGAATACATCCTTGTTTCTTCTAAATGGATGATCAGAATGTAGGAACATACTATGACAATCAAATTAAGTATTTTTTATTACATGTTTAAGTATGAAAGATTTGGTATTCTCCATACAGTAAGGGTAAGCTAACATTCATGCTGTGCTCCAACATGATAACATACCGTAAGATGAAAAATCATAAATTCTCCAAAGTAATGCAGCTTTAAGAAAATATTTCTGTTTAGATTAGATGTCATATGTGAGGACACTTTCTTTCCATAAGAACTTGAGGTCATCAAATAATGGTTGCAAAAAATATTAATTTTTTCTTTTGATTAATATGCTCTTGGTATTATAAGTGTTAAGAACATGTACGAGTTAGTCATGCACATCTCTAGTGGAAGGTTTTATGGTTGTTTGTTGAGTTTTGAAAATGAATTTGCTTTGCATTTGAAAGATGCAAAAAAAAAATTAAAATTAATTTCTTTGTGAAATTCACTTTTTGA